ACATGACCCAGACCTCCAGCTGATGTGCTCTAAAATAGCTGCTGGATTCAGTGAAACTAATTATTTCCTCTCGTCTGGCCTCGGCTCTGCATCTCTAAAGATAGAACCGACTCCGTCCTGCTGATTGGGATTCAGATTCGATAAAACCGTCTGATTTCTGACAGCCTCTCTGCTCCCACCTGTCCGCATCACCTGACCTCCTCGCTCACCTGTGCAGCTGCTCCTCCTCTAATTAAGCCGCTGCAGCCTGCGGCTCCAACGGCGGAGGAACGGATCTGGTTCTGTTTGTCAGTAAGACGGCAAATTTTCGTCTCCTTCTGCAGGACGGAGTCATGAATATGGATGTTCCGCCTGGCTGCAGCTCAGCACAGACAAAGGAGGGTTTTTCCAGCAGATCATCTCCCTATCTGCTCTTCCACAGCCGCGCTCCCCGTTTCTCCAGCTTATGGTCTTCACCCCGGTCACCCTAATCATCGTCTTCATCAGCCGTGTGTTTAAGAACCTCTCGGCCATCGCTCACGCTTCTCACATCGTGAGGATTAGATGATTTCTGTCAGAGTCGTCTCTCCGACTGATTTAAGTTCACGACTTAAAGAGGAAACAAATGAGAGTCGAGACGAAAAGAGAGAAAAGAAGCAGAACAATGAGAGGCAGTTAATGAGGACTCTGCTCCTGTTCCAGTAAACACTTCACATGATGTTTGCTGTGAGAGTTTGATGTGCTGCTGCAAAAAAACTCCCATGAGTCACACTTCAGGGAGCGATTCAATGATCTTCATGTTTGTTTCTGAAGACGATTCTAGCCTGATGTTTAACTAGGACACCATCGCCTCCATCAGAGCTGTTGGCTTCTTCCAAACATCTCCATTGCTTCCAGCTGCTCAGACGCCCAGGTGAGCGCAGGACCACCAGACTACCTGGATGACCTCCTGTCACGGCTGGAGACGGTCCTCTTCCTGAAATCTTAGCTTGACTTTCTGCCCCTTCTAGATCTATGTTTACCTCTCTGAGTGTTCGCCTCATGCAGAGATGAAGGAAGCTGCAGACACATCTTCATCCCGTCACCTGCAGACGTGCTGAGGCAGAGGAATCGTATTTCATTCATTCTTCTTCTGCAGCTGCCCCACAAACACGCAGCAAAAATGACTTATTGAGCCTCATAAGCAGAAATCTATAAGCCGGAGCAGCTCTGATAAATGATCACCGTTTGATATCCTCTGGGAGAAGGGGCGGGGGGGATGGGGGTCTGATAAAAGCGGCTGATGAAGCCTGAAGGCCGGGAGCTGACAGACAGCCGACCAATCACAATGAGCCAGGAGCAAATTTACATCAAAGCTGTCATCATGGTGAAAATCAGGCAGGTGTGAGTCCTCCCTGCTCCTGCCTGAGCGTCCATCATGGCTCCTCTGATCTCACACTCTGCAGCATCCTAAAAGCTGTTTTTTTATTTTATTTCCCTTTTTATCAGGATCTATTCAGTAAAGATCTAACACCTGCAGCTGCAGACGGATGTGAGATTGTGATCAGAATCTACCTGTAGATGGTAAAGCTGCTGCGCATTAAACGATGGTTTCCAACATCTGCTGGTCTGGAGAAGAAACTCCAACCTAAAGAAGATCTGATCTCGGAGCAGCTCCTCCATAGAGTTCCTCCGCTCCAGGGCGCAGCCTGCTCCCAAATTATTTACAGCTGCTTCTCTGCTATTAGTTAATAATTCATTTAGGAAAACGGATAAAGAGTTCAGTTAGCTCAGCAGCTGCCTGGTTCTGATGAATTACTGATGAATTTCTGTTGCGAACCTGCAGACACGTGGTTAGCAGCAACGAAAACCAGAAGAACCCCAAAAAAAGCAGCTAGGATGCTTCTTAACCAGGAAAGGTCTTTGCTCCTCCACGGAGAGAAGGTCCAGGATCCAGACTGATGGGCTGAGAGCAGAGAAGCTGAGAGAAGATTTTTCCTGATTTGGTTTCATCTTCGTTTGTTTTTTATCTTTAATTCACTCTGACTGGTCCTCACGAAACTTTAAAAGTTCCCTTTAACACAAAACAGAGTGGGTTTTACTTTCTGCAACCACCTTCTGAATTTAGGGCAGAGTGAGGCCTCCTGTCTGCTGTAGGATGGGGCAGCGAATGCATCGTGATGTGTTTGCTGAACTCCTTTCATGTGCCAGAGATGAAGACCGTGAGTCTCTGTGCATCCCATCAAACCGACGACAGGACTACATGCCAGTCACCATGGCAACAACAGTACCCCCTAATCAAGGTGTGGAGCTGTCAGGACTGTATGTCCATTAGTCAAACACTGCAGAGTTTTCCTGGGGGGAAAAACAGAACTACACTTTCTAGAACCAAACAGCAAGAGTAGTTCTGGTTTTAAGTTCTGGTCCCTTCAGCCTGCAGAGTTTCTGGACCTGGATCAGGAGCTGAATGCGAAGAACATCAGATATTGGCTTCAAATCAGAGAAGATGTTCCTGCCTCAGCTGTAGCTTTATGCTGTAAAAACAGGCTTACGACGTGTTAAAACCAACATGATCAATTAGACATGTCCGGATTTCAGTTAAAATACATAATTTTACACCCATCCATCCATTTTCCATCACGCTCATCCCAAGCGAGGTTGCGAGGGGGGCTGGTGTCTATCTCAAGCTGTCTACAGGCGAGAGGCGGGGTCAACCCTGGGCATCCATCGCAGGGCAACACACATACAAACAACCATTCACGCACACCTAAGGAAGAATTTAGAGAAGCCATTATCTAACAGTCAGGTTTTTGGACTGTGGGAAGAAGCCGGAGTACCCAGAGAGAACCCACACATGCACAGGGAGAACATGCAAACTCCATGCAGAAAGACTCTGGGCCGGGAATCGAACCCAAAAACCCTGCTCTAAGGCAGCTGTGCTACCGCTGTGTCACTGAGTAGCCCTCATTTTACACCATTTATTCTCAATAAATGCATAGAAAATATTAACCTGACATGAAAATTACAACCTTCTAAATCACTGAAATTAACTTTTATTGAGTCTAGTTAAGTGAGTAAAATGTTTTCATTATTAATAATGAAACATTTTAAATTCTTTGGAATGACAGTGTTAATTAACCTTTCCCCTCATTGTAAATGGTCTCAAAATGAGACATAAATCATGTATAAAGTTTAAAGTGGGAAAGAATAATTCCCATGGTAAGACCTGAAGTTTGCAGCGCCGAAAGTCACAAATATTTTCCTTATTGAGGCTTTATGCTCCAAATATGATCAAGTAATGACGTAATAATCCAAGAAGTGTCTGAACTGATTCTAAAACTTTTTCACTGTTCTTCTCAGTTGTATTCCACTGTCTTATTTCACTTAATATTGCAATAAATATGTTTATATTTGTTGTTTAATGTGAAAACGTATGGAAAGGGGTGTGAATACTTTGGCAAGCCACTGTAAGTTTTTTGAAAAAGGTTTTTAAGTTATTTTGAATCAATTAAATTTCCGGATTGGTGCGTCGTCTGCTGTGAAGTGGGAGCTGTACCGGTCTGTTGTAGTGAAGAGAGAGCTGAGCCAAAAGGCGAAGCTCTTGATTTACCGGTCGATTTATGTTCCTACCCTCAACTATGGTCATGAGCTTTGGATCATGATCAAAACGAGATCCTGGATACAAGCGACTGAAATGATTTTTTTTCCATAGTGTGTCTGGGCTCTCCCTTAGAGATAGGGTGAGGAGCTCAGTCATCTGGGGAGGACTCAGAGTAGAGCCGCTGCTCCTCCATGTCGAGAGGAGCCACCTGGTTAGGATGCTTCCTGGACGCCTTCCTGGTTCCAGGCATGTCCCACTGGGAGGAGACATAGAGGGAGACCCAGGACACGCTGGAGGGACTATGGCTTTGGGGCTCCCCTGGATGAGCTGGCCCTCCGGGGGAAGGGTACTGGGAGATGGACGTCTGGGGCTCCCTACTGAAGCTGC